TCACACACATATACTACACAGGGATGATTACCACATTTTAAGTATCTTTCTGTGCAGCCTCTCTTCTGATTTAGGAATAATCTGTTCTTTTTCTGTGAGGATCATCTCAGTGAACGCTTAAGTACCAGGTAGTCTGCCCACAAGCTCTTTACATTCTGTGCAGCATTTGGGAGCTTTCTTCACCTGGATGTGCTCAAGGACCAGAGAATCTATATCTAAACCCTTAAGTTCAGCATTGCTCTCTGCATTTTCAAACATACGCAGCAAAAATTCAGTAGTCTTTTTGGGCCACCAACTCTGTGTCCAGCCCCACTCTAGATATTTTTTAACTAGTTCTATCCAATAAAATTCAAAGAATAAGAACAAAAGATGGGGTAAATTTGAAATATGTTAGAACACCCCATTTAAAAAAAATAATTTGAACCTCATTATTTTTTAAATTAGCTGGACTCAATGTACCTGGGCATATCTCCCAACTCTACTATTGTAAGGACAGAATGGCACACATTGCTTAGTAAAGTGACATGGCCTGGGCAGTTTCACAAGTGTTCTTAAAGTGAACAGAATGATTTGAATGTCTTGATTGCATGATTTTGTGGGGTTTTCTGGGTTAAGTGAATAGCAAGCCATTTTCAGAAGTCACTTCAGACTGCTTTCGGGAAGAGGAGAGCATAAATTGATAGGCTTATCATTGTCATAGCTTTGAAATCGGATTTTAAAAATCCATAGGTATGAACAGTATTGTATTTTAACATCATTAATAGGTTATCTGCTTTCTTAGCTCTTTATAGGACTGAAGAGTCTAAGTAAGCTAGCTCTTCCCTACTATATTATTTTCTCTTCTCTATACAATTATTTGGACTCGTTTGAAATATTTTAATTTTTGGTGGTGGCGTTGTATCATGTCTCTTTGTTATTTTCACCTATTACATTACACAACCTCTGTGTTTCCTAGAAGACTGTATCACTTTTCTATTTTCTCAAGTCCTTTCTTGATATTGATTGGTGGTTGATTTATTATTTCACCACTTTTGTTAGAAGTGATAGAACTGAATTTTTTCCCCTTCTTGTTGCCTCTTTCAAAATAAATAGGTCGTGGTTGCTTCTCTAGGGGATTTTGTCAAGGCAGAAGTTTAGGAAGAAGGATGGTGTGTCCTCCACTTGCATTTTGGTCTCTTGGACTAAGGTCACCTGGCTGACAGCCTGGTCTCCCAGGAAAGCTTCTCCTCTCTCAGAACTTTAAAGTCACAGAAATAGGTTTCAATTGATGTTTAGTTTGTTGTTTCTTTTGAAATATTTCTCATATTGATCTTATAAAGGAAGATTACTGACTTAGGTGTAATAGTTTGTGATATCTTTGCAGGAAATACCAGAAATAATCCAAATCCTGGATTGTTATCATCCTCTGTTTTTATCATTAATGAAATTTGTACTGATTTGATACTTGGATGAATGGACTCAAATATCACCTCTGGCTTAGTCAGTAAGTGCCCTAAGTGCCACATAATGAGTCTGTAACTGTTTTAAGGTAAACCTACTTTTAAGTACAGCAGACCATTTCTCCCTCTTTCCTTTTTGTTCTCTTTTCTTTGTTTCTAACTACCAGTAAATTTTTTAAAGTATGAAAACATTAGCTGAAATTTTGGGAACAGGTTTCCCATAGCTCTACCTTTCCAAAGCAGCTGTTTTTATTTTTCATGTCCCCATATATGGATGTTTCATGTGAGTAAAATAGTATTTTATATGATTAAGATTATAAATTTTAACTTTAAAAAAAGTAAGTCCTATGGCTTTGAAAAATATGCTGGGGGAAAAAGGATGAATATTGGGAATTTCAGCTACATTGAGTCCAGCTAATTTAAAAAATAATGAGGTTCAAATTATTTTTTTTAAATGGGGTGTTCTAACATATTTCAAATTTACCCCATCTTTTGTTCTTATTCTTTGAATTTTATTGGATAGAACTAGTTAAAAAATATCTAGAAGACTTTTGTCTTATATGTAGTATGGTAAAAATAGAATGAAACTTAGATGGAGATCATGTTACTGGTGTTTTGCTTTGAGAGGATGAGGATATGTAGAGAGTCCTCATCAATCAGCTGAGTTGAGTGAATATTGGTTCCATCACCCACTAATTATGTGATTTTGAACAATTGCTTAGCCTCCCTGACCTTTGATTTCCTTATCTTTAAAGTGGGATGAAAACTGCCTGCCATGCAGGGCTATTGTGGGTTTAGACAATGGCTATAAGTAAAGTGCCTGGGCCTATTATCTGAGCCTATAAGTAAAGTAGCTGGCCCATTATCTGAGCACGTTAGCCAGAGGGTAAACAGTAGTCAGAAGAAACCTAATACTTATAAAACTTAAACATACATTCTGGAGAACATGTTTCAGCCATAAAAATAAGTCTGTTATAAAAATATCTATTTGTATAATTCACTATTTCCCTTTTCTCTTATAAATATAACTAGCGGCCTGATGCATGAAGGTTCGTGCAAGAATAGGCCTTCCTTCCTCTGGCTGCTGGCACTGTCTTTGCTCCAGCTGGAGCTGCCACCTTTGCCTTTTCGCTATGGCTCAGAGCCGCCTTTCTGCCTTCCCACGCTGCCCAGAGCAGCTCCTAGGCTGCATATGCAAATTAACCTACCATCTTTGTTGGGTTATTTTGCATACTCACTCCTGATTGGCTGGTAGATGTAGCAAAGGTACAGTCAATTTGTATGTTATTAGTGAAAATACTGCCAAAAGAGGAGTAAAAATATGATGAAAAAGTGCTACTATCTTGCCAAAACCGGTTTGGCTCAGTGGATAGAGCATCGGCCTGCATACTGAAAGGTCCCAGGTTTGATTCTGATCAAGGGTTTTGTACCTTGGTTGCGGGCACACCCCCAATATGGCGTGTGCAAGAGGCAGCTGATGGATGTTTCTCTCTCATCAATGTTTCTATCTGTGCTCTGGTCGGATCCTTACTTGTGAGCTCCAGCCAGCCCTGGGCAGGCTGCAGTGTTCCCTGAACACCACTACTGAAGGTACAGTGTGACTGGCCCTGTTAGGTTTTTAGGGTTCATCTGTGAGTTCCCAAAGGACATTCACAATCCAGGCAGTGTCAGGTGACCGTGGCTGCAAGAGTTCCAAATCAGAAAAAAGCAAAAACCTTTTCAGGGCACTTTTTAGAAAATAAGAATGAAAATAGCTTTAAAGAGCTCTCTTGTAGGTGCTGGGGTAAAATATATGAATTCTGAAAACTTAAATTGCTTCTTGGACATACAAAAATAAGTGGAAAATTGGCTATTGCTTTTAGCCAGTAACAGGTTAAAGCCTGGATGTGTTTGAGGAAAAACAACACTGATCTAATTTTTATTTCCACATTAGACTGCCAAGTTAGAGTTACCCACAGGTTACAGTGCTCATGTCTGATCTCAGATGAGTCAGAGATGTAGACACAGCCCAGACAGGAACTCAAATAGGGTGGTGATAAGTGTGGTAATGGATACAAGTATGGTGTTTAGCAAGTAGTTAATTCTTATAAGGGAAGCAGGCCTTCCAGGTTCAGTAAACTTTGACCAAACACAGGTGTGTAGCCTAGTGCAGGCCAGAGAATGGAAAGCAACTGGTTTGTGGGGGGCATAAGGAAGGTGCCAGGAGAATGAGCTTGGAACCACTGCACTGGTACTACATAGGACTTTTACCAAAGGTGGCAAGGTTTTTTTATTTCCATTCCAGAAAAATGTCAAGAATGTTACATAATTAGTAAAAGGAGAAAGAATAATAGAGCCAGTCAGTATAAAATAGTTTTTTAAACACTGAAAAGACACAAAAAATATACGCTGGCTGAAACAGACCAATTTTCAGGAAAGCAGACTGTCCTCTTCCGGTCGCATTAGAGAGGAGTTGACTCCGCACCCCGCATCAGATATGCAGCAGCATGATGAGTAACCTAATGCAGACAGCTAAGTGATCTGCCAGGACCTGTCATGCAAAGTGTTCAACTCTGTTATGTTCTCAACTACTGCTGCTCCCTGCAGTTTCAGAATTCACCACTGACTTGATTAAAAGTAACCGTTGAGAGAGAAGTGTATAGAAAGGTAAACACACACACACACACACACACACACACACACACACACACTTCTCTTTGAAAATCAGGACAATGGTAAGAGACACTTGGGTGGGGGCAAAGGCAGGAAATACTCAAGTACTGTAAATAGAAGAGTGATCGCGTAAGACTCATGCTACTCTTATTACACTTTCTCATAGCGATTTCCTGATTCTCCCTTTTCTTTAAGCACCAGAGAGGAAGTCAGGAGACCAGGATCAGACCTGTATAATTTCCTAAACATCCACCTCATCTCAGACAAGTCTCTGCTTTTCTAGCCCTCAGTTTGGGTCTCTCAAATGAAAGGACTTTCAAATAGAGCTGCTTCACAGGCCACTCTGGAGACCAGGAGGCCTGCTGCCACCCCTACCCTTCTAACACCAGCTCTGCTTTTCTTTGGGTTATGAATGAGAGCTGTTACAAGGATTCGATCACTTTTTAAAAGTCTGAACATCACTGAACTGGATGATCCAAAGGGCATACCCAGCTCAGAAACAATTGCCACATGTGTGGAATGGGGATGACAATAGGTCCAATTCACACGTTATCTGAGGGTTGACCAAGATGCACATGCAGCTCAGAGCACAGAACACAGGAAGCATTCGGTATGTTAGCTATTGTTCTTTCCAACCCCAGATTGGTCCCTCACAAGTAAGACTGCATTTCTTGGCTCTTTGAGTATAAAATGACCTGAAAATAATGCCCAAGCCATCTGTTTTATACCCCAAATCCTGTAAAATGTCTTGGACATTTAATCTGTGAATTTATAGCATAACAATTTTATTTCTATTTTTTGTACATTGTTTTTCCTCCCACAACTGGAAGTTTTCTTCTTCCCCGTTATATTTTTGAAATAAGTATGACCAGATGCAATTACGACATTGCACATACCAATGTCTTTCAGGCTTGTTAGCTCCTGGGAAAGTGACATCAGCGTCCACTCTCTGACCCTGCCCTCTGCAACCTGCTTGGAGCTGCTGTTGATATTATCAGGGAATAACGCCACGCTGCCCCCGTCCCTGCGTAGTATGAATTCCTTTCAGGTAAGGAGTTGTTCCTACCAGGGTGTGATTTCTCAGTTTTACTTGTACTTGCTTTCTAAGGAGCCTGTCTTTCACAGGAGGTAGTCCACAGAAACCCAGATTTTCACATTGTACTAATAATAAGCATAATGCATGTATTACTGCCTTTTTTTTTTTAAACAAAAAAAAAAGGGAGGCTCAGAATTCTCTAGGCAGTTGTTCAGTAATGATGGAATTCATATTTCTCTAACTCCAGGGTTAGTACCCTTAATCTTTCCTGCCTCTGAGAGAAAAGGCAAGAACATTTGACAGAGAAATTTATGAATGCCACTTCTTTTTCTAGATTTGCCCTAGAACAGTGGTTCTCAACCTTTCTAATGTTCTCAATCTTTAATACAGTTCCTCATGTTGTGGTGACCCCAACCATAAAATTATTTTCCTTGCTACTTCAATTCTGTAATTTTGCTACTGTCATGAATCGTAATGTAAATATCTGTGTTTTCTGATGGTCTTAGGCGACCCACAGGTTGAGAATCGCTGCTGTAAGAACCGCTGCTGTAGAGCCTAAGACCATCGGAAATAACTTTATGATTGGAGGTCACCACAGCATGAGGAACTATATTAAAGGGTCTCAGCATTAGAAAGATTGAGAACCACTGCCCTTGAACAAGGATCTTTAGGTTGCAGTCAAACTGCCAAGTGGATGCTTAACAGTGATAGTGTCCTACCCCCTCTCAGCACCTGTTCCCACCACCACTACTTTCCCACTCTCCTGGGTATCTGTCTATGCTCGAGGTAAAGGACAAACAGGACCAAATGTGGACCAACAGCAACAAGACTCCTTCCCTGGTAGGCAGCTAATTGTCATTGAGGTGGCAAATGAGAATGAAGATGTTTGTCACTGAAGTTGTGACCTAATAGCTGCAGAGTGTAATTGAACATATCAATGAGTCTTGACAATGGAAAAATATTCACAAACCTTCTGAGACTGGTGAGAAGCCATGTGCCACAGTGAGAAATGAGTCAATGTGTGTCAGTTCTACTTCTGAAGAGTTGTGTGTGTATCCTGAGATAACTTCAAGATCAATATGTATTGCTTGGTGCACCTCTGTGTTAAAACAAGACATGAGTTTTTCTATGAATTATAGCTCAAAATTGATTAAAAAATAATTGCTGCAATCTAATTTGCATCCATATTCTCCTGGTAATTTATTATAATAATTATCTTTGTAATTTTCTTCCTGATACAAATTTCAGACTTTGGCTATGGTGTACCTGTTTGTATTTATCATTTATTACTCAATTATCAACTTTAATACTGGACTCAAGGGACCTTTGAAAACATCTTATTTTGTAGAAGAGGAAACTGAGACCCAGAGAGATGGATTGGGCTGGCCAGGGACCACACAGCATGTTAGAGACAAATGCCCAGGTAACTGCATCCACCACCTGAATGCAGTACTCGCCCAAGTCTTGGGAAGTGGGGGTGTGAGTCAGTGGTAGATGGAGGCCAGTTGTATCTATCTTGGAATATCCACATCATCCCTTTTTCTGTAGTAATTTATAATTGTTTATTTGTATGCTGCCCTGAACCAGAAATGATTTAAAATTCTATCAATCTTTCTTTAATTTTTTGCTCTTGGGATTGAACACTGGATAACACAAAAGTTCATATATGCCCACAAACTTTTTTGAAGGGAGGTTAAGAAATTTAACAATGTTTACCTTTGGGGAGAGAAGCTGGAAGACAATTATTTTCTTATTCATTCCCTCGTGTACAGTGTGAAATTTTTTTTTATGATGGGTGAGTGGAGAGATAGAGAGATGACTCTGACTTCAAGGACTTTACACAGAATATTGGGGAAGATGGAACCAACATCTGTGTGTGATATAAATTGAGGATAATTATATTACAAAGTACCCTCAATGCAACTCTTAGAGATGGAAGGTGGAAGAGGAATCTAAACCGGGAGTAGGGGATTCGAGAGGAGGTTCTCCAGGAGACGAGGCAGGCGGCCTTGCTGCCTTTGAGGACCTCAGCTCAGACTCATGTAAACGCAGGGGCAGGAAAGCCCACCCTGCTCTTGGTGGCCTTAGTGTCTATCCTCTCACCTCTAATCAGGGGTTAGAGTTGTCAGCTTGTAAAGCCTGTTAATTACTGAATGACCCTCTCTATTAGTGATGGTACTTCCTAGGTCTCAGTTCCTTTGCTGAATATTATTGTCAGGAGCACAAACAGTTGCCTGACTTCAAAGGTAGAGAAAAACTTGTCACAAATTTCTGAACAATGTCTGCTAAAGAGATTTTCCCCTGCTCCTGGCCCTGGAAGACGCATTCCTATTGTGGCTATTACCAGGAATCGACTTCCCTATTCGGGCCTTCACTCAAAAATAGAGGATTAGTGAGAAGGGGAGGATGTCTGTCAGGATTAGAAGGAGAGCCCTGCTTCTTCGTCTTTGTAACACCCCCTTAATCATTCACTGTCAGAGCGAGGACCCGGGCTGCTAATTCTGCCTGTACTTGGGATTTACTCTTTCAATTGGGAGCTACTTTAATGCAGTTCTTTAAAGTGCTGTACTGGCAAGAGCTGTAGAATAATAGAATGACATTTGTCAAAGATACCATCTTTACATTTCCAGTTCTCTTGTAATGCAGGCCGAGTCAGTTACTGTGAGCAATGGTGCTTTTTCCTTCTGCTCTTTTTTGTAAAAATGTGATTTTTCATTTCTGAGGATTCAAGTGGCACTACCACTTGAGCCTTATCACTGCGAAATCCCAAAAGGAGAGATTTATCTTATTAATTAGAGCTATTAACATATATGAAATTGTCATTTCTTAAATTACAGTATAACATTTCTCTCAAGACAATAGGGATATCTTTGGGTGGATTTGTCATCATTTAACTTGCACTGGGTTACATACCTGAACATGCCTGGTGTGGTTATGAGCGGAGAGACTGTAGGATTTGGTGGAGAATCACTGATGTATTGCTGGGCACATTCTAGAGTTGTTGATTTCCCGGGGAGAAGGAGGGACTTACCGTGTCACAGTCTGTTAAAACTCTTCCATGACTTCTTATTGCAATGAGAGTAAAATCCAAACGTCCGAACCTGGTCCACAAAGCCCGCAGCAGGTGTCCCTGCCCTGCCCTTTGGCCTCATGCCCTGCTCTCTCCCTCTCACTCTGTTCCAGCTACACTGGCCTTATTTCCTGCTCCCAGCACAAGCTGGTTCTGGACCTTCTTTCTGTCTCAGCTCAGGTACCTCCTCCCCTAAGAGGCCTTGCCTGACACTCCTCATAGAATCCCTCTCTCCCCATCAGCATATTCTATAACCTTATCTTGTTCATTTATTTGTCCTTTTCCTCTTCTGAAATGTGTGTTAACTGAAAAGAGAGAGAATGTCTGTTCTTGTTCAATATTGTGTCAACAGAACTCAGAACAGTGCTTGGGCGGGGAAAGCATGTGGGCTGACTGGCTATGGTGGGAGGATACACAAATAGAGTGCAAATTGGCGTTGCCACTTGACATTCTGGAGATGTCCCGAAGACGGGGCTAGTGGTAGCCTTACACACTCCGGGACAGAGGCGGAGCCTTACCTGTTGAGACAAGGTGGATTCCACAGGCATGTTCGGATTGGAGGGATGTGGGCAAGGTTGAGCACAGTGGGTATCTGCATTGTAATTCCAGCCTGGGGCTTTGTTACCAACAACAAATAATCAATTTGAACTACGCTTTGCAACAACCAGAATCCACCAGAAGTCATGGCAAAGTAATTTTGCTTACTGATGATGCACCATCACACACTTCAAAACCAGTTAAAGACACGTTAACAGATCTTACCTGGGAAGTATTCACCAGACCTTGCTCCTTCAGATTACCACTTGTTCCGATCGATGGCACACGCACTTTCTGAGCAGCACTTCAAAACATTCGAAGAAGTGGAAAATTGGGTCTCTGAATGGTCTGCCTCAAAACAAGAGAAGTTCTATTGGGACGGTATCCACAAATTACCTGAAAGATGGGGGAAATGTGTAGCTAGCGATGGACATTACTTTGAATAAAGCACTTTTGATGTTTCTCTTGAAATTATTGTATTTTCTTATATTACAGAATCTGCTATTATTAACCAGTACACCTAGTAAAAGTCCTGTTGTTAGGTGACAGTGGATGGGAAGGGAGGCTGTGAGCCATTCCAGGTGTCCTCGGGTAGCTGCGGGTGTAATCAGGAGGCAGGTAGGCCTGCAGGAGATGGGCAGGAGCCTGCTAGAACTTCACTCAGCTCTCGTGGAGATCTACGTGCTCGTTCCAGAGAACTGAGCGGTGAGTTATTGGCACCCTTGGTCCCCGAGGTATATCAGTCTCCTTCCTAAGAATGCCTTTGTCCTCAGGGGGCAGAGATAATCCAAGACTTGAACGCTACTCATAATATTTAGGAAATCCAAGTCTCACAGGTAGTGATTACTGCTCTATTTTCAGTCTCTCTCCTCAAAAAAGATTTCTGAGAACTGCCTCAGCAATTTGGGTGTGAAAGGATGAGGTGTTCTGTGGTTTGGGGAAATAAGCAGGTACCCTTAGTTTACTACACCTCTGTGGTCTGGATTCTCCTTTCCTCTTCCTCCCTTCGTACTGGTCTCTGTTGTTTTGCCATCTTCTTGAGGAAAATGTGGAGGACGGGGCCAAGCAGAGAGCCAGCTCATGTTGCTGCCACATCACATCTATCGAGAGGCTGATCATGACCTAACTGTTTTGGTTCAGTGGATAGAACATTGACCTGCGGACTCAAGGATCGTGGGTTCGATTCTGGTCAGGGGCATGTGCCTTGGTTGCGGGCACATCCCCAGTGGGGGGTGTGCAGGAGGCAGCTGATTGATGTTTCTCTCCCATTGATGTTTCTAACTCTCTATCCCTCTCCCTCCTCTCTATAAAAAGTCAATAAAATATATATTTTTTAAAAAGAGGGAAAGGCTGATCATGCTACCCAGATTCCTCGCTACATGTCCTGCCCCTCTGAAATTTCTGT